GGAAAGATTTACCTAATTATTCACTTTCTGTTTTTTTAGCAAACGATGGCTCAGATATTCATGCTGCGGTTCTTTCCACAATTAGAAAACTAGAGGATGGCTATTTCGGAGGAGCTAGGTAATTTGTGATTTAAAAATGATAATGAGTGTAGCATTGACCTTTCTTTATCTTTGGCTGCCCTGCCATTATGTGTATCAGTTGTTGAATCTACAAGCATGGAGTTTTAGATGAAGAAAGAAGTTACAACTAATCCAGTCTCCCATGGGAAACTTGCGTCATCTCTAACGGTATTTGGTTGATAGTTGGTGTCTTTGAAGCCTTTCTGGGTGTCAGGAGGACTCGGGCACAGGGACATGAACATATCAAGCCTGTCTGAAGAGGCGTTCTTCCTGGAACGCTTGTATGGAATGCTGAGTTCATTTCTGCAGAGAGGCACACCCCATGCCTGGGGTCCAGCAGGTGCTTATTGAATTGATTTGGAGTGTGCTGTCGAGTGCAGAATAACTCAGAGAACTTGACAGATTTCAAGAGCAGAGTGCCTATATGGGCCTGTGTAGATCGCTGTCCCCTCCTGCTCAGTGGAATGAGAGCCATTCAGTTTTCTGACTCTCTGGCCTGGAGAACGCCAGCCACTCCCGGGTCTTGTGCATCGGCACCTACAGTAAGAGGGGGCTCACCCTCCAGGAAAGCCCTTTCCATATTTTTCCCTCTGACTGTCACAAGGTGGAGTACTCTCTGCAGTGTCTGAGCCTGCATCTTCGCAAATCCCCTGGGATATGCCAGAAAGGCCCCAAGAGAACCTCCCTGTGTATCCCAAATGTATGGTCTTTCCTGGGCTCAGGAAGGCTTCCATTTGGTTTCTGATGGAATACTCCAGTAAAAATGTTTGGAGGTTGAAGTCATCCCATCTTCTCATATCCCCCTATGTCAGGGACCCTGCTACCACAAGAAAGTCCCTCATTTTTTAAAATTGTGGTAAAATACATATAGCATCATCATCTTAATATTTTTTATTTTTTTAAAGAGGGATTTTTTGCTGTAGGGCACGTGCACTCACTGGAGAGACAGAGACAGAGAGGAAGAAAAGTGAGAAATCACCCCCTGGGGGGCTGGCCACACCCCCATCCCTTCTCCGTTCCCTGGGATCTTGGGCATGCATGCACACCTGGTGTGAGTTTCAAGCTGCTGGGTCCAGGACCCAGACCACGGTTGGCCGTTTGGGAGTCCAGCAATGTAACCATTATGCCATCTGCTGGTCCCCCATCTTAGCCATTTTCAAATGTGAATTTCCAGAGTGTTAATAAACATATTCGCACTGTGGAGCCTGCATCTCCAGAACTCTCTTCTTCATCTTGCAGAGCTGAAACTCCAGGCCATTTAACAGAAGCTCTTGGTTGGCTCCGCCCCCAGCCAGGCAGCCACCGCTCTTACTGTCTCTGTCTCTGTCTCTGTCTCTGTGCGCTTGCTTACTCTAGATACCTCACGTCAGTGGACTCATCTTTCTCTGATGGGCTCCTTGAACCCCGCTGGGTGTCCTCAAGGTGGAGTCACTGTGTTTCCAGCTCTGGCCTCATGAGACTTGCAGCTCTCACTGAGGCCGGGGCCTCTACACACAGTTTGCTATGGGGTTTGCTGTGGCCTTGACATAGGCCTAGACCCTAAACTGTGGGCATGTCAGCAAGATTTCCCCAGTGTTTTGCTGGCTACACTCGGAGGGCTACTTCCACAAGTACAATCTGTGTCCACTTTTGTACATTTTACCTGCAGTTTGGAAAAGTTACCACCTGGTGTATGGCGCCACAATGAAGAGAAAATACCATAACCCATAGAACTGGCTCCATGCCACAGTGGTAACGCGCTTCTCAAGAGAAGCCAGATCCCACATGGTGACCACAGTTCAAACCCCTGGCTCAATCAGCCTGATACATCCTGGGCACATACATAAGCACCTGAGATTCTGCAGCCTCCCCAGACCCTGTGGAGGGTGCTCCTCTCTCTCTCATCCTCCTGTGTTCAAGCATGCACTCTGTCATGTATATTTAAAAAAAAAAACCTTTTTTTCCCTTAGGGCGGATGTGCTCGCCAGAGAGAGTGAGAAGGAAAGTAAGAAATCGCTCCCCAGGGGGCGTGGCCACAATGCCACCTTCTCCATTCTCCTCCTGGGATTTTGGGCATGCATGCACAGGTGCCTGACATGATTTTCAGGTCTCCAGGTCCAGGACTCGAACCGTTGTCAGCCATGTGAGAGTCCATTGCCTTAACTGCCACACCACCTGCTGGCCTCTCGGAGCTCTCTTTAGCCTAAAAAAACCTGACTCCTATTAGCTTTTTCAGAGAAAAATCTTTCTTATTTATTTATTTCTGAAACACTTTTTAAAATTAATTTATATTCATTCCCTAAGTATCATCACAGCATACAAAACGTGATTTCCTATCCAGGATTTACTGCATAGTGGTTTAATCATGCATGTTATCATCAGTAAATTTCCATTTCTAGCTTTATATATTTTTACCCTATTTCTGACTCTGCCATTTCCCATCCTCTTCACACACTATCTCTGGTGTCTACAGTTGTCTTCCATTCCTTTTTCCCTCACATTTTATTGATCACAGAATTTCTTAAATAATCTAACTACTTTCAATAGCAAGTTCTGCTGGTAATTTCAAGAAAAGCAGTTTTAACTTGAATAAGTCAAAATCCAACAATATTAATAAAAAATTGCCTAAGATTTAAAACCAGGAAAAAGGTTAAGATTCTGTTCAAATAATAGGCAATCACCCCCCAGGGGGGATGGTCACGCCGCAATCCCTTCTCCTCCATTCTCCTCTCGGGATCTTGGGCACGCATGCACACGCGCCTGGCGTGAGTTTTAAGCCACCGGGTCTGGGACATGAACCGCGGTCGACTACGTGGGAGTCCAGCGACATAGCTATTACGCTAACTGCTGGTTCCCAGGACAAAAATTCTTAAAACCGGAAAACAAAGCCTAGAAGGAAATCAGCAATGTTTTAGTCAAGTCATAAAATGCCATTTTACCAGTTCAGTCTCATGTACTTAAGCTATCTTCTGTTGTGGTTCCATCTTCCCGATTAAGTTCTGGGATACAATACTCAATTCCAGACTTGTCCCTATAATTAAGTTGGCCATTTTCTTAGTTTTTGGAGAAAAATCTTGCATTGCCTTTTTCTGCGCCCCAGCCCACCTCCTGTTCCCGAGCCCCAGGGCAAAAACAACACAATCCTTAGAAGGTGGCCCCTTGGCTCTGGGGAAAGGTTTTAGTTGGGGACAGGCTCTTCCCCTCAGGCCATCTTTCTAGCTGGAGCCCATTTGCCCACTGAAGCTTGAGCACCTGTGAGTTCATTTGCATTGCCAGCTTCAATTTTGCTTGAAGGCTTCTCTCCTCATTTCAACCAAGTCATGATCTGATGCTGGGAGCTAGGAAGGATCCTTGGTTTGCTTCTTCCTGCTCTAACATTTTAGGAATGCTTCTCTCTATGGGGTGGAAACCAACCAGAGAACTTGGAGCTGCTGTCTCTGCAGTCAGATCACAGGCTGCCAAACTGGCCCTAGTCTGCAGTGGAACTTTTCCCAGCCTGATGTAATAGGGCCATGCAGGGTGTCTGCTCCAGTCTGGGGACAGCCTGTGCATGGAATCCTTTGTAGAGGGAACTGACTCTGAGGCTCGCGTCTTCCATCCTCACACCCCTGTGCCCCTGCGACTGCATTTTGTAGTAGGGACTGAAATAATGGTTCACTCAATATATTTTGTAAAATTTTGGTTGGTTCAGTAAAATACATATGCATTTGTGTTGGTTATGGGAGTTAGAAATCAGCGTGATTCATTTGGCTTTTAATAGGATGTGTGCTGTCACTTCATCCCTGCTGTTGAGTTTTTGTATTAATTTCTCGGTTGATGATGTATACGGAGCAATCTGCAGAGTAGTACATTTATTGATGGTGGCAAAAGCGCCACGTGGTCGTTGAAAAATCTTCCAGTGATTTGGCCGGGAAATCTGTTCCCCTCTACCTGTGTATCTAACATAGCATCTTCTTGGCAGAGTGAAGTTGGGGAGCCTTTCGGAATTTCTCACCACGTCATTCTACACCTACCTGACCTTCCTGGATCCAGACTGTGATGAGAAGCTGTTTGAGGAAACCAGCGACGGGAGCTTCAGCCCCGACAGTGATTCTGATTTGGGAGGGTATTTAGAAGACACCTATAACCCAGGTGTGGCTTGGAGTGCTTTCGTGAGCAGTTCGTTGAATTTGTTTAAACCTTGGCATTGTGATAACATTGCCCTAAGACAAAGTGCAGAAAATGATTTGTAATTAAGTAAAAGCACACAAAAAGAGGCTTCTGAGATGTGCATGTATTAAATTGAATAAAATGCAGTTTAAAAACCCAAACTGCAAGTGTTGCCCTTAAAAGTAGAGCTTTTTTAATTAAAGAATGAGTTCATTTTATTTATTATTTTTAATTTGCTGTAGGTCATGTGCACTCACCAGAGAGAGAAAGTAAAAAAGCAAGCCACCGGCTCCACGACTCAAGTCACAGTTAACCATGTAGAAGTCCTGTGCCTTAGCCACCATGCCACCTGCTAGTCCCAAAAGTGAAGGTTTTTTTTTTAAAGAATTATTTTTTATTATTATTATTATTATTATTATTAATTTGACCAGAGAGAGACAGAGAAGGAAAGTGAGAAA